AAGAAGAGAGTGTGACGAGAACTATGTCGACATTGTCACACTCTCCCCTTATACCACTAAGTCAACACAGAAACCACACTCCAACACCATCACGGATATATATATATATATATATATATATATATATATATATATATATATATATATATATATATATATATATATATATATATATATATATATATATATTTTATATATATATATATATATATATATATTTATATATATATATATATATATATCTGCATATCATTTGTTTTGTTTACATGAAAGCTTGAGGGGGTTGACATCTTGGGGACAAACATCCGTGTTGGGTTGGAGGTGACGGAGAACGGCAGCAGATGAAGGAACAAAGATAAGTGTGACGGTGAGGTCCCTACCTCGAGTGAGATAAGGTACACCAGGCGAGCCTTTCAGAGCCAAGTGGGAGTTAGTGAACTGAAACAGACAAGAATCAGAGGGTGTTACACACATAGTGCCGAAGGGCGAAGGTTGACAAGAAGACGAAGGCAACTTGTCTCACACTATCAAGGCTGAAAAAAGCAATGGGTCTAGTAGGCTTAGGGTAGAGAGGCAGCAGAGAATCTCACACTGTCAGGATATTCGGACAGCCTGGTGACTGGCGCTCTTCAAGCGCAGAGGATGTGAATGATTTATCATTCTCTAGAGCATAGTGGAAGAAGTTATGACACTCGGGATAAGAAACATGCTTGTCATATCCGAGCAAAGGTCAGTGCCTTCAAAACAACGAAATATGAGAATCTGGCATATTGAGAACTGGGAAGCAGAGAGGAAGGAAGCTCTGAAGAGGAAGAGGAAACGATCATTCTTGAGATGAATTGAACAGGAAACCACATATTATCAGGAAGTCTAAGATTGATAACAGAATACTCGGAATACCGCAGTCTAATGTCACCAAGGTAGAAGTTTATTATTATTATTATTATTATTATTATTATTATTATTATTATTATTATTATTATTATTATTATTATTATTATTATTATTGTTATTTTCTTGGAAATAAATGGTACTTTTGGAACTTTCTCAGCAAGAAATTCAGAAGGACCTATCTATTACTGGCCAACTGCTAGGATGTTTATTTCTTTCTATCTTGGTACTCATGGTGGAAAGCTTAGTAAACTCATGGTGAGAAGGGTGAGAGAGAGAGCTTGTACTCGGAGTAAAAAGAGTAGAAGTGGGCTTGTACTCAGAGTAGGAAGGATAAGAGAGAGCGTGTTCTCTTGGAGGAACTTTGTCAATTCTTGTTACGACAGCTTGCAATTGAAGCTTAATATATTCTCTTACTTTCAAATGGTTGGCTCAACATAGTCAGATCGATATAAGTCAGGAACTTCAGATTTCTTCCATAGCAATATGGCTAACCTCGGCTTGGGGTGTCATGGAATTTATGGCTAACCTCGGCTTGGGGTGTCATGGAATTTATAGTTAACCTCGGCTTGGGGTGTCATGGAATTTATAGTTAACCTCGGCTTGGGGTGTCATGGAATTTATAGTTAACCTCGGCTTGGGGTGTCATGGAATTTATAGTTAACCTCGGCTTGGGGTGTCATGGAATTTACAGTGAAATGTTCTATATACATATCTCTAAGTTCCTACCAATTTTCAGTTGTTATCAGTTAATTTCCAATTTATGTATACTATATATAGCATTTACATGCACACACAAAGTACATACACGTTGCACACATTGTATGGTGTACATATATTGTACACACAGTGTACATACATTTTATATACAATGTATACGCTTCAAAAACTTTGGTACTTGTGTGCATTACTCAAAAAAGAAAGAAGCTAGACTAGGAAATAAGTTGTATGATTCATATATATATATATATATATATATATATATATATATATATATATATATATATATACATATATATATATATATATATATATATATATATATATATATATATATATATATATATATATATATATAAATATATATATATATATATATATTATATATTATATAAAACTGGGATGCTTAAATGTGTGTGGATGTAGTGCGGATGACAAGAAACAGATGATTGCTGATGTTATGAATGAAAAGAAGTTGGATTCCTGGCTCTAAGCGAAACAAAGCTGAAGGGGGTAGGA